CGCCAAGATCCGTCTGGGGAAATAGGAGGAGTCTCCTGCGAATTAAAGCCAAGGAATCGTGGTGGTCACTTGGAGTTGCTTCAGGATCTCGCCGTTGTGGTGAAATCCGGAGAGAATAATGTCACCGACAGTAGTTTTCCGTGAGGTGGCCTTTTTGTGTTTGCTCATGATGTTGTGTTGGTGATCAATAAAGGATACCATCGTGTTGGTTTCGATGGGCGATCTCCAAACGTTGCATTGACTGTTTTTTGTTCTCATAGGTTATTGTCAGCACACAACTACCGATCTTCCGAATGCCAATGGCGGGGCAGCCAACTGGTTTGACAGCCACCATTAACGCCGCCATCCGATCCATATATTTCGATCATTGTCTTGTTCCTGTGTCTCACTTCCCACTATTAAATACGAAGTCAGACTTTGCTGTGTCACAGCAGAGTTCGAAGAGGAGAAGAGGCAACAGCTTGGAGCGGAGAAGAGATGGCGGAAGTGAAGCTCATCGCGGGGTGGGCGATCCCGTGCGTGGTGAGGTGGGGATTGTGCTGGGCCTCAAGGGAGTGGAGTCTGAGTTGCTGCAGGATGAGTTGGGGAAGAAGAGCGAGCTGCTTCTGAGATCGAATCCTGTGTCCAAGAAGATCCCCGTCCTTCTCCACCGCGGCAGGCCGGCCTGCGAGTCGATGGTCATCGTGCAGTACATCGACGCCGTCTGGGCCGCTTCCGGCCCTGCCATCCTGCCGGCCGACCACTACGAGCTCGTTCTCCACCGCTTCTGGGTCGTGTACATTGACGACAGCGTATCATCGATTCTGGTGACCAGTTCATCAACAGTACTAGGGATCCTTCGCAGTCGTCTTCTCTTCCACTTGATGCCAATATGACTCACACCATGTTGCAGTGGTGGCCTTCAGTGACTATAATCGGCAAGGCTCAGACCGAGGAAGCCAAGGCCGAAGCGATCGAGCAAGAGCTCACCGGGCTGACGCTTTTTGGAGGAGGCCTTCGGGAGTCTGAGCAAAGGAAAAGGTTTCTTTCGGAGGGGACGACATCGCTCTCGGCTGGATCAAAGCGATCGAGAAGCTGACCGGCCTCAAGCTTATAGACGAAGAGAAGACGCCTCTCCTCGCCGGATGGGCGGAGAGGTTCTGCGCTCACGAGGCTGTAAAGCAGCATGGAAGGCTCAACCTGCAGACTGAAGGAGCCTTTTGGCTGCTCGCGGTTGCATGCTCTGGTGATGACGTATGTTGCGTGTGCGAATCGGTCAACAGACTGTGATGTGATACGTGTTCATGTTTTATTGGTGATTTGACATCTCATACTATATTTTTCGATGATGTCAGTTTTTTGCTTGTGTGATGCGATTCGATTGGCGTTTTGGATATGTTATAATATAAGTTAGCGCCCAACAAAGTGTCCGCATGCGAATGGTACGGGTTTTGTGCCACGTGATGTGCATGTGATCGATGGTAGACCGGGCCTGCCCCAAGCCCGCCCATGGAAGTGGGTCGGCTGCGGGGAGCGAACCCTCGTTTCGTGGCTGCCGCATCACCGCGCCCCTCTTTCTCCGTTCCCACTCTCCCATTCCGCCTGTTCATGCCCTGGTTGGTTGACCCGTAACGCTGCGTCCTCTTCGCAAATATGTCGGCAATCGGAAGAAGCTCTGTGAGTGGGTCTTCCTTACATCTGTTCTCTATGGTTCGTTTGACGAAAATCGATGGTTTTGCTTGTGCTCTCAAAATTTTAGTCCCGTTCTAGGGTTGTGAAGTTTGGTTAGAATTAGTGTTTCTTGGGTGTCGTTGGAGGGAAAAATTAGGGTTTTTTTATACAATTGAAGCAACGCGTAATTTTTTGTTGGGATTTTGGTGTTTTAGATTTGATCTGATACCTTTCTTCTGCAAGTGCCTTTCACCATCGTTCCCCTATTTCCTCCATGACTTTCTTTGGGACAGCCGATGCTGGGATGATCGTATATGAATCGCCATATGTGAGAATTTTTGTTCAGTTGGAACGCATATGGTGATTAACCTCGTGTGACCCGTTTCCAACATCAGTGGTATCCTCTTCGGCGATAATAACCTGGTTCCTCCCTTGGATGCAATTGTGATCTCAATTGTTATCTCTTACAGAAAGGTTTTTGTCGAGTAGCACTTTAATTATTAAGAAAAGAATGCAAATGCATATTACCTAACCTTTTCTGATGTCAAATTTAGTCATCCTCTAAGCTAGATTGTAGGAGCCAACAAAGATCTCTTTGCAGGACACATGCACCATCTGTAATGGATCTCAATGTGATGGCCTAGCAAGACAAGGAAAGGAGGGTCAAGGATGATCCTAGCTGGTCACCTCTGATGTTCAAGTTAAGATGTGACGAAGGAAAGAGAAGTTGCAGTTAAAAATGAATTACCCAAAAAATGTTGTTTTCACCACTACCTCCCTATGTCTCAGAGTTTTTATCGACCAAGCGACTGAGTTTAGGTTTTCGTACATGTACGGATGCTGTCAAAGTTTGTTACCTGTCAAGGTGAAGGCAGTAAGTGCCTGAGGTTGAAATTAAGTTATGCTGAGTTGTCTCAGGCATGATACCAGATCAAATATATGGTCAGGATGAGGACCTACAGGGACTTATCAACTCAGCTGGGACTGGCAAGTGCTTTGCGGGGATTGGGGATTTGATAGATGATACTTGCTTCTTATGCTAGCGGAATGTATGTGGGAGTCGACTGAATTTAAACAAAGAAGATAATCTTTTAGCAAAGCTTGGATGAAGCCTGATAATTAATTGGCAACAAGTCAGATCTTAAGTATTAAAATACTGGTTGAATTTTGCAAACAAGATATTCAAGATAAATGTTCAAATGCCATTTGAACAAGTTTAAAATCCTTGCAATGTGATAGTTGGAAAAACTATAAAATTTGGTAATATTCAAAGTAACTGATATTTTGCTATATATGATTATTCTGAGAGGAAAAAAAAGAATATGACAATAAAGTATTGAATAAGAAAATAATTAAACTTTTTGCACATTTAGCATTCAACATTCATGATCCTTGATATCATGATACCATATCGGTCTATACAGGATGATACGAGCAGCGCAAATTAATATGTAGAATGCCCTGTATGGTAGTACACCTCGTATTCAAGTGAATCTTGGTATGCTGATCATTACAAGTCGATGAGGTTTGTTACAGTTTGATACAAATTTAGTACAAGTCTTTACTGATAATCACATGTTGGTACAAGTCTGTACCTTGTCCTGACTCTACCATTCCCATATCTAGTTTGTTGTTAGAGGACTCTTAACTTCATCCTAACACACCATTTTATAAATATCTAGTCTACCAACAAGGCATTACATGAGACCACTATTGGAAAAGTTATTGGATAAAATTACATATTCGTTATTTGTCACTAGACCACCTAGCCCTCCCATACCACTTGGTCTGGTTTTAGTCTCTGGAGTTTTATTGCCCCCCCACTTGGTCTGGTATTAGTCTGTGGAGTTTTATTGCCTGAATACTTGATATATTGTGTTTGAAACATTGGACTATCATTATATATGATTTTGATTAAGATGTGTTGTGATTGTCCGCTTGATTTATTAAATTGGTATTTGTTTAATATGATATACTGCCCATGATCACCTTTTAAGGTTCTAAATGATATATATTTATGATATTGATCATGACACCATAAATGTGATATGTTAGTGAGACTACTTTCATGTGGGTTATGTTATTATTCAAAACCATAAAAAACCAACAAAAATGATTTATTTATTCTACACGCTTGGTCAAGCCAACATCCATAATTCAGTGATTTAAAAAGGCGCTCGGGCGAGGCGAGGCGAGGCCCGAGCGCCTCGCTTCATTTCCAGGCGACGCGCTTCAAAGACGAGCCTAGGCGCTGGGCGCTTCGGGCAAGCGCCTAGGTTAAACCAGGTGATCGAACCAGCGGTTTAGGTCTGGTTCGGTCTTCGGTGCTTTAGTTGGTTCAATTGAACCAACTAAAGCACCGATATCAGCGCGACTTCCCCAACCCTAACCCTGCTTGCTGTTCATGCTGCTCGTTGTCGTTGCCGCTGTCGCCGCGCGCTGCTCCTGCTCCCACTGCTCGCTGCTGCCGCTCTCGCTGCCACTGCCGCTGCTCGCTTTTACAGTTGTTGTTGCCACTGCCGCTGCTCGTCGCTCCCGCTCCCGCTCCTGCAGCCGCTGCCGCTGTTGTCGTTGCCTCTGTCGTCGCTCTCGCTCCCACTGCTCGCTGCTACCGCTTCTCGTTGCTACCGCTGCCACTGTCGTCGCTCGTCGTTGCCGCTACCGCTGCCGCTCCCGCTTTTCTCAGCACTCTCGGTCTTCCCTTACACTTTTCTCCTCTCTTTTGCTTCTCTTTCGAAATCGAAAGTATACTATTAACAGTATACTGTATACTGTTAACTATATACAGTATAACACTATTATTTTGATTTTAATACTATTAATTTTTATTTATTTGAAATTATTGTTAACTGTATACAGTATAGCAAGTGTACATTCTGATTTTGTATCTTAGATTTTCTTAATTTAATAGCATATTTTTATTTAAAATTTTAAATAATTATATTTATTAATTATATTATGTATTTTTATATTTTAGCGTCTCACTTCGCTCGGGCGAGCGCTTAGCGCCTCGGGCATTTTTGGACCGTGGCGCCTTTTGGCGCCTAGCGCTTTTTAAATCACTGATCCATATACATCGATGTTGGTGGTGTGCCATTCTTGTCTACCCAGTAAGGTTCATTACCAGTAGGGTACCATTTTGAGATGAGATCAATATGTGTATAGTTCTTGATTCGATCCTAGAATCTCCATACTAGGTAGGATCTTGACTGTAACAAACTCGCTTGAGGGAAACCATATGCTGCAGCAGGACCTTGACACTAGTCTCAATCAGTCATGCTACAAACTACTTATCGATTATTAACAATGTAAACAATCATTGTGTGTGGTTTGACATTTCTAGTAGCGAACCCATTCTGGTCCTTGGTCAGACTGGTGCGGGTCAGCGCATTGAAATATGGTATGCTCATATGTGCTGTTGAACTCTTATTAAGATTTTAATATACACGATATTGAGAGACGTGTTGTGGTCTGTGTCACCAACCTAATAGGCCAGCAGGTTGTTAGGTACCGCCTGATATGTATTGGTCTGGGTGAAACTTAGAATCATGATTATTACAACATTAACTATGATACTTCTATATCTCTGAAAAAGCTATAGTGAGCTTCACCTTTTCGGCATTCTGCCCTTTACATATTCAAATTTAGTATATGCCACTCAAAAGCTGGAAATTACACTTACTCACTCTCTAAAGTGCATGATCCAGATAAATAATCAGCCTCGCTTAGGCGATGACCCTATGAGTACTTCCTGAAATAAAAAGCGGAAGATACCTTCTTCCTACTTTGTGAATGGAAGTAGTTGAACCTTTCTGTTGGTCCTGTTTTGGATCCCTCAACACCCTTTTCCAATCACAGGACAGGTTGGTGAAAGAGACAAGCTATTCTTCCTAAATGTCCATAACAAGATTACCCTGCAGAGTTTTAAAAGCAGAGATAAGGTTTTGAGTGGGAACCATAAATATGACAGTTTAGATTTCTAGGGGACTGAGGAATAAAAAAGAAAAAAAGAAAAATAGTTGATTGGTTGGTGGTGGAAAAATGCTTGTCTAAATAGGATATAGATTCCAATCATCATGCTAGCAATTTTTTTTATTAAGTGAAGACGAGCTTTGTAGAAACTCTAATTACAAAATCCATTCCAGGTGATCCTTTGCTGTATATTTTGTTCACCAGAAAACAGTAGGAAGTTTTCAGATCAAAGTGCAACAAGGAGAACCTATAAAAGACTAGGATTGTTAGAGAACACTTGATGGTCCTTAATGACTTTTGAAGGACATGATTCTGAAGATAGAAATATGGAGAGGAGTTTATTTTGTCGAACATAGATAATTGTGATTTTAAGTTTTGCACTTTTTGGTCTTTTATAATACTGTAAACAATGATAGTATGTGCTTAATTTCTTGTTTTCTGCTTGACAAGGTTTAGTAGGAAAAGATGTATGCGACTGGGAGATGTTCTACATACTTCTTTAATTACATTTGTTCAATTTCAGAAAGTTTCTTGAC